ACACACACCCCCACACCCCCACACCCCCACACCCCCTTTCCCCCGACGCTCGCCGCACCTCGCCGCGCATCCTCCCCACCTCCACACCTCTCTTCCCCACCTCTCCGCCGCACCTCGCCGCACCTCGCCGCACCTCGCCGCACCTCGCCGCACCTCGCCGCACCTCGCCGCCCGCAGGTCTCCTTCCCGCCGACCAGCGACGCGGCGCGGCACGCCGAGACGCTCCGCGGCCTCGCGGCGACGCTCCTGCGCCGTTGCGCCGCCGACGGCCGCCCGCCGCGCCGGCTCGTCCTTAGCTGGAGGTGCGGCTACGCGCGGGAGGAGCTCCCAGCCTCGAGTGGCGGCGGCGGCGGCGGCGGGGGTGCGCTCCGCTCACACCGGCTTGCGTGGCCGGCGGCTGCCGCGGCGTGTCTGGCGGGCCGAGGAGACGCCGCCACCGCCGCCCGCGCCCTCGTGTCGGCCTCGCTCGGCGACTTGGCCAGCCGGGCGAGCGAGCAGCGCCTCACGCGCCTCGTCCTCTCGGCAGAGTACGCCGCGCAGCTCCCGCAACAGGCGGGCTCGCTCGACCGCTTCCTCCTGCCGGCGGCGCGGGGAGGGGAGGGCGAGACGGGCGCGGCGGGCGCGGTGGGCGCGGAGACGGCATGGGCGGCGGGGGCGGAGGCGGCACGCGCCGAGGCGGAGGCGGAGGCGGCAGGGGACCCTCCGGGTGGCGGTCAGATTGTGCCGTGGGATGAGTGGGAGGAGGAGGAGGGAGAGGCGGAGTGGGAGGAGGCATGGATAAGCGAGCCCGGCTGAGCGCGTGACACCTCGTACGGCTTTACGACCGATGCGCCGGGCTCGGGGTGAGATATGAAATGCGAAAAAGGAACACACAAAAACGCGAAAAAACACCACGGGAGGTACAGGTAAAGCGCCGCCCGTAGAGCAGGTGTACTTTACGCAGTACGGGCTACGGGAACCACGGCTGCAGGCTCACTCAGGCTGGGTTTGTTTCGAAGAAAACAGTTCGGCTTAAGACACTCGCTGACGCTGATAATACACAGCTCTGCGCTCCTATCGTTGTCGCAACGATAGAAGCAGAAGTGCAAGACACGTCGAGTGCGACTGCGGGAGGCGTGCGAGGACCTTTCAAAGAGAGTCCGGGCTTCATTGAAGCTGCAATATGTTTCACCGGCGACCGTCTATGTAGAGCTCGAGGTAGATCCCGCGCTCCTTGCACACAGCCACCAGTTCGGGCGGCTTGCTGCCCACGAACAGGGTCTGCACGCGAGAGGGGCGGTGCGGTGACCGGTGAGGCTGCGGTGGGCGGGGACAGGCGCGTGTGGCGAGGGGTGCGTCCCGCGTACCTTCAAGCTCGGGGCGGCCCCCTCTACGAGAGCGGCAGCCAGCGCCTTGCAGCCCTTCTCGCCAATGGTGTTGCCCTCGAGATAGAGCATCTTGAGCCGAGGCACTGCCCCCTCCTTGAGGGCGGCGGTCAGTGCTTCGCAGCCCTCGTCACCAATCTTGTTGTAGCTGAGATAGAGCTCCTCGAGCCGCGGCGCTGCCCCCTCCTTGCCGAGGGCGGCGGCCAGCGCCTTGCAGCCATCGACGCCAATCTGGTTGTAGCCGAGATAAAGCTCCTTGAGATCCGGCGCTGCCCCGCTCGCGAGGACCTCCGCCACCTGCGCCGCCTCCGCGTCGCCCCAGCCGAGGCGGACGTAGCGCAGACCGGTCGCCTTGCCAAACTGCTCCTCGAAGGCGGCCGCGTACAGCCGCGTCACGAGCGGCTTGTCGTCCTTGCCGTTGGTGAAGCTCTTCGTCTCCAGCTCGGCCGCGAACCGAGACGGCAGCAGCGGAGGGCGCCGGCCGCCGCCCTTGGTGCACTCGTCGACGAGGCTGACGCAGCTGTACTCCTCGTCGTCGCGCATTAAGCCGAGGTCGAGCGAGAGGCGGCCTGACTTGGTCAGGCTCGCCCAGCTGCTCTCGGTGAAGCACCAGCCTCGGTCAAAGTACGCGGCCACGTTGGTGCCGTCGGCCTGGTCCTCCGTCTTGTGGCCGTCCGGGAAGGAGGTCAGCCGCAGCACGCGTGTCTCCGGGTGGGAGTAGAGCGTGCCGAGGCAGCCCAGCCCTCGCTTGAAGAGCGTGTCCTGCTCCTCGGTGCGCATCACGCCGTTGGCGGGGTCGGGGTGCTGGTGCAGCGAGCCAAAGTCCCAAAAGACGCCGAGCCGCCCATAAATGTAGGTGACGTCACTGCACAGGGCCTTGAGCGCCTTTGCGACGCGGCTGAGGCTGGTGCCGAGCGGGTCGGGGTGGTCCTTGGTCAGCCACGGGTAGGAGAGCACGGTGACGGGAAGGCCAATGACGGGAACTGAGACTCTGCTATAGTTGATTGCCTTGACGAGGTCGGCGAGGGAGAGGAAGGCCTCTTTGGGCAGCGCCTGGCGGTGAGTGAGGACGCCGCCCGCCTCGGCGTGGCTGATGACCCACTGCGCGTCGAGGAGGGCGACGGCGCCGCTCGCGAGGACCGGCTCTAGGTCGCCACCGCCGTTCTTGCGCCACAGCGCCAGCCTGGTCTCGCCCACGCCGAGTTCGGCGGCGGTTGCGAGCGTGGTGTCGGAGTTTTCGGCGGCGTTGAGCGTGGTGATTTTCGACGCCGCGCAGCCCATATGCCGCAAGGGTCGAGCGTGTCGGCTGCACGTGACAAGGGATTGAGCGCGGCTCAACTATTGTGCCCTTCAATTTCTTTTATGAACCACCAGCGCCTGCTGCTGATTCTTTTCTCATCCCGCTGGTCGCTACAAACAGCCATGAGCCAGACGGTCGTCTTCAGCCAGGGCATGTTGGAGGCCCTAGCTGTGATGCGTTCGGACGACGCCTGGGAGGCGATCGAGGTGCCCAAACTCGTTTTGATCGATGACGATCCCGACTTCCACCCGGACGATGCCTGGCAGGCGGCTGCTGCCGAGGCGGCGGCTGCTGCCGAGGCGGCGGCTGCTGCCGAGGCGGCTGCTGCGGAGGTGGCTGCTGCTGCGCAGGCGGCGGCGGCGGCGGCGGAGGCGGAGGCGGAGGCGGCGGCGGCTGCGGCGGCGGCGGCGGAGGAGGAGGCGGCGGCGGTGGCGGCGGCGGCGGAGGAGGCGGCGGGCGAGGCGGCTGGCGAGGCGGCGGAAGCTACCGAGGCGACAGCGGCGGCGGCAGCTGCTGAGGCGACAGCGGCGGCGGCAGCTCCCAAGGCGGCGGCTCCGCAGCCGCGGCTCAAGGTCGAAGGCGAAGCCGCGATGGCGGCGGCGAGGCAGAAGCTCATCGGCGAGCTCGACGCCTTGCC